GTTTTATCGCAGGCGTGATTGACATTTGCAGTTTTTGTATTGATTTTTTTAGTTTCCCGCCGGATCCTTTTTACAGAAGAAATGTTCTGAAGCAGCAGGCAATAAAAGCTGGGTCATACTAAATGTAGCACCATTTGCTATAGGCATTTTATGACGTCACATTAAATTATATACATATGAATAAAAATTCCGAAAAATTTTTTAAGAAATAAATCATTTGGTTAATCAGGTAATATATGACATGACACTCAGAGTCGCCTTCACAAATTATAGACCACATCTAAATGTGAAAACATTTCTGAAGCATTGTCAGTTATTTTTCGTCAAGTTTTCATGAAACGAATGATTCGCTTCTTCGCCTTCGGAAATAAATATCTTCATTTTCTAGACAAGCTCGTCGACGCTATAGGTGTACTCATGTTCAGTAAGTTCAGAAAGAGGTAATTATTGAACAAATATATCATATTTCAGGGAGAATAAAGATTTTTATGATGACTGTTTTAATATTTCAACCCTTCCAGTGATCGGATTGACTTGAAACCTAGTAGGTTAATTAAAGTACGATGACAGTATAATAATTCATTAATACTGTGACCCACGCCTGCGTAGCTAATATCAGTTAATATTTGAATGTAGTAAAACCTTATGCGTATTTGATAACAAATGTGTGCGTTTAAAAGTCAGCTACACTAGTTCTCGAAGAAACTGCTTTAAATGCCGTTTCCACACTCCGTGGTTAATCCTAATTACAGCAAGTATAAAGCAATGCCTATAATAGTTCAATATTCTGCTAGGTATGAAACATAATGTCGATATCAATTAAATGTCACATCCATATCTGTAGATTGTCAACTTTTTCTTTTTGTTCCAAGAAGTTTACGTCCACGTTATGTGACTAGTAATAATAAAACCCTATTAGACCCAAATAAGTTTCGATTTTATTTACAAAATTTTTTATTTTTGTCTATTTTCGTTTGATAAGTTTTAACCAATTCACCTACCAACAAGTGGACGTCGGGTCTAATACAAAAACCACGAAAAAAATATCCGAAGTTAACCTATACAATCGTAGTGACATGTAACAAAATATAAAAAAACTAAAACGGTTCATTTAAATTGTAACATCATTGTAGTACTGCCTAATTTAGCTTGCAACAATTAAAGGGCCCAAAAACACCATATTCAGCTTATATTGGAAGCTTAACAAAATGCACCATATTTAGCTTCGACTGAAAATTACTAGAACACAACCGTAATGGAGCAGCCGTTATTGTAAATATCAATTAATTTTTATGTATATTATTATGTCAAATTTTGTGCAAATTTACTTCAAGAAATAATAAAGAGTTGGGCAGATTCATACATACAAATATTAAAAATGTGAAAATAAGCGTGTACTATAAGAAATGTACGATATTGCAACTAAGCGTAAACCGATTTATAATACATACATAATAGTTAGGTTTTCAAGTAATTTTGAAAAGATTAATTTGAGAATAATTTTGAGAAGCATCTCACAAAGCCAAAATTAGCTTTTGTTTTGTAATATTCCTAAAAAAATACATTTGACATTATAAAAATTCGAGCTAACGTTATTTCGGGAAAATGTATTTTATGACTTCTGATAGGTCATCGCTAGTCGTAAAACGAGTACAACAATATTTTGTTAGTTATTACTAACGTTTAATAAAAAGTCATTCTTAAAAATACGATTAAAATCAAGACGACTCTATAGTTTCTTTGTTCCAAATATTTCAATCGGTTATGGTTCGAATAATTCAAAATAACCAAGAAGTTTATATAAGATTCTAGAAATTGATGTAATGGGTCTCTTTCCATCTTTTGTAGAAAAAGGACAGTTAGTTATTGATTATTTTGTTTGCCTTTGTAATTTACATTTACGATTTATTTATATATAAATTAAATATTATACAACTGTACAAAATAACACTTTTAAATGATAACAATGATAACACAATATATTTGTTTAGTGAAAATATGATACAGAATCCAGTTTTTACACTTTACTGCAGTAATTTTTACAAGTTATTATATGCTACTGCATGATTGACAACCGCGCTGTCAGTCGAACAAACGAAGACTGTTGCGCGATTGACGCTCTGTATGCGATTTTAACGCCCTGTAGGTGCGGACACTTTTTAGCGCGAACCCGACGTCCATTTGTTAGTCATGTAGTTAGGTCAATGCTTTTAACCAATCAAAATTATGTTATCTTAGTACTAATGTAAGACTGTACGTTTTCAAAAGTCTGCGTTTGGCGACACCGGTTTTAATACATTTGTTGCTTGATGCTATTTCCATTCTTTGCTTTCCTCCGTGCTGGCAATACTATCCTATTATTTACGCGTAGCGATTGAAGGACTGTGTATCCAGGTCATGCAATAAATAAAATAAAAAATTACGCTTAGTCTGACATACAAACGCTTCATTCCAAGAAATAAATTTATTTCTTCTTGCGTAAAACAAAACATAAATATTTGTATACGAATAAATATCCAAGGAAAACGACCAAGAGGTTAATCCTCGAAATAACGAGGGCACTAGGTAGATATACCCGCCGATTTAGAGAGATCGATCAAAATCTACCGTTCCCTAAGCTTCTCTGCCCTTCGCGACTCCCCATGAAGGGCAAAAGGGAACGAAATGACGTATTTGTGTTTATGGTTGGCAAGATTACCCGTGTAACCCTATCGCACTATAAATCTGTCTATGTATGCAACAAAGATCGTAAGAAGATTTCTCCGGAAACATGCACGTGCTTTTTCATCATCTTCTTTAGAGCGATTACACACGGCGACTTTTAACAGTGATACAAACGCGATGCAAGCGCGGGACTGCATCGATACAAACGCGCGATAGCATCGCTACACTTGGAATTCTTAGGCGATTGCATCGACACAATCGCGCGTTTTGTATCGATGCAGTTGCGCGTTTGCATCGAGGCAGTCGCGCGTTTGTTACGATGCAGTCGCTTATAAATCATAAGTGTATCTATGCAATCGCGCGGTTTGTATCGATGCAGTCGCGTGTTTGTATCGGTGCAGTTGCGCGTTTGTATCGATGCAGTTGCGCGTTTGCATCGATGCAGTTGCGCGTTTGTATCGATGCAGTCACGCATTTGCATCGATGCAATAAACGATCGCCTATAAATCGCAATTGTAGCGATGCAACCGTGCGTTTCTCGGACGCACGTTTGCATCGCTGCTAAAAGTCGCCGTGTGTAACCACTCTTAGCCTATCCGTTTTTTTGATACATAATAAAATGCGTTGTACAGTTGTCAAAATATCTACTTTACTCAATAATATATTTGAAATTAAATAAATACACGCAACACCGCTTATCTTCGAGTATTAATGTAGCGCCCCATACCTTACTTGATAACTCCGCTAGATAATCCATAGCAGATAATCCATAGCAAATAAACTGGGGGCCTTTTAACCTTGTCTATTAGATATTTATTTTATCATATTCACTAATATTCCGAAGAAGGACATAGATCCTCTTCGCAGAAATGGTATAAATAGAAAGAAACGTACACTCCGACCGACAGTTTACTAACCTTTATTGCTCAAAATACGTTACGATTCATTTAATGAGATACATGTGTTCACATATTTGCTTTGGATTATCCAGAGTGTCTGAGAAAACAATGGAAAAGTACGTTCGAAAATTGGAGTTTCACTTCTTTACATAGAAACAAGTCGAATGTATGTAGTATGTTACTAACTTCTACAAATAAATATATACACACTTTTACAAACTAATGTATGTGGAACGCATTTAGAAATTTTACTTCGTCGACAGCTGACGTTAATATTTTAATTAACATAAGTACTTCCAATTCACAATCGTAAATAAGTCCATGTCCAAAATTTTGTTTACTTTCGCGTCACTGCCCGCACTGTCTAGAGTTGAAGATAACTACCTACATTTCATCAGAATGTATATAACTTCCTTTATGACTTTCACAAACAGATGCCCCTTGTATAAAGAGCTCAGTTTTAACTTGAACATTAGTCTTAACCCAAATCATTATTCCTTTTATTTTTCTGCTGAATTTTTCCACAAAAATTCCTACTATGGTCAAGTTAATAAGACAGTCAAGTATACCTATAACTAGGGACTGTATTATTGTGAAATTCTAGATATAGGAAAATACACTTAACTCTCTTGGGAACTAGAGAGTAAATACATTTTATTTATTACATTGATCGACGTATGTACATATATTAATTATAATATTCATTATGATATTTCATAGTAAAAGTATAAGTGCTAATTACACAGAGGAACTACTATTTTAGTTAACATTGGTATGTCAATGAGTTAACATTAGTATTTGTCTATTTCAGTGGCATTCTGAACATTCAACTTATTAATTGACATTTATAACATTCATATATAAAAATTGCCAGTACATCAAAATACTTTAAAAAATGAAAACAATTATCAAATGATGTCATTAATAATCCCATTAAAACACAACGCAAATAACTTTTTTATAAAAAAACCTCGAAAGTTCGTGGAATTACATCTAATTCCCAACTTTTATTGAAATCGGTTATCAGAATTCATCGCCTAGTTTGTCACTCTTAGAGGTGAAATATTTTCTTCAAATTTAAATGGCACCAATACAAGAGTGCCTTTCCAACATAACTGTATCTTTCCAACAAAAACAACCATCAAAATCGCTTCACAAATCGCCTAACACACGCATACACACAAACAAATACAGTCGAATTGAGAACCTTCTCCTTTTTTCAAGACGGTTAAAAAATGTGTTTCCTGGGAGAAATGCCTCTGATTTTTATGAAAAGGCTGAACTGCAATGTTTCTACCTCTACATTACTGCGGCATAATTTTACAATAGCATTGTTTTCACAAGAATTTCATTACGGTTGGGCAGAATGGACAGGAATTTCAAATGTTTCTCGGTACCATTCATCTTCAATTTTATTCCCGTTATTTATATTTACAGGTTTTCATGGCTGCGGCTCACGCACTTCAAGATAAAGGGAAGCTTCTGGACGTTGATACGGCGCGACTCTTTTTAAATATTCCTGACGTGGTTAACGCAAGTTTATATTTTTGGGAGAAATCTATGTACCCAATGATAGCCAATGCTGTAGAGACAACCGTACCGTAAGTACTACTATTTTTATTTACACTTTAGATACTTTGTAAAAATCACGTAAAGTGAATTTTAATAAACACAGCCTGTCCGAGTATGGCGAATTCTGGTCTGTTTCGAAGAGGTTTAGAGGTTTAGACGAGATTAGTGCTGGTCGTATGAACAATATAAGTTTGTGCAGAGAGAATCGAAAATTATAGTACTTGGGTATTAGAATAACAAAAACAGTACTTAGATAAAATGTATTTTACTCTCTGTGGAACAATGTTAGACGATGAGTGTCTCACGAACGAGGAGCGTTTACCACGGGAATACGTCGCTCGACCCGCATTGCAGTTACCGCTTCCGTGTGATTCTATTTCACACCATGTCTAGTAGAAGGCTGTCAAACATTTCTTATTGTGAAAAATAATGCAGATTTTTTTTAAGAGTAATAATCTAGATAATCTGTATTATGGTACCCGACTAAGCATTGAGACTAACGTCTCTCTGCAACAAGTAATTTAACAAGTATTCTTGGAAATCTCTAAGTTATCCACATTCCGAGTCGTGCACGTAAATTGGAGCAAACAAACAAGGTGAAAGCAAGGCATTTGGGCATCTGCCAATAATAAATGGATTCCAATATTGTGTCAATGTTACACATTAAACCTCTTTTATTTTTACTTGATTTACTGAACTTAATACAATAAACCAAATACCTACTACATGCGTGACATTTTTATTGATTGATAGATTATTTTTCAAGTCATATTACTGTTATAGTGTAAGTAAAGTTCGTAGTTTGTAGTAGCAATATCACGCAGATAATTATCAAAAATTAGTGAATAAAATTATTGGCAAATATTTCCACTAACTTTAGCAATAACTGTTACACGTTCTTTCAGATTCAACACAGAGTTGATGTCTCCCGGCTTTTGTCGTTTCCGTGAATTTTTCACCCCTTACGAAAAATATGTGAGTGAACAAACGAAAGCTATCGATTACCTTCGATCGCTATCCAACAACGTAGATTTCATGACGTACCTACAATGGTGCCATACCCACAAAAAATGCAACAGGTAAAAAACTATTTTATTCTAATACTGTAATGCTGTGTGAATTAAGGATAAACGCTAGACAGCAATGAAGGTACATTCACAAACGAAAAATATTCACCTCTGGAAGCAGTTGTCCAATAATTCAAGCCGTCGTGTATTTTTTCTTTTTATCAAACATGTAGATATAACTAACCCTATACACAGCGTCACTGGTTAATGGGTATTATTGTACTGCCCGGCAGTGTTGGGCGTTAATCAATTAAATTTAAATCAGAAATTCAATCAGTTTAAAAAATCAATTCAATTGAAATCAATTGCAATTGATTTCAATTGAATTGATTTTAATTGCAGTTAAATTAAATACAATTAATTTTTTTGGTTGTTCATAAAACAATTGAAACTAACAATTAAAACCGGAAGTACCGATTAAAAGTGTCATTTAGAATATGGGTTAGGGGGTGGGTTAGGGGTGTGTTAGGGGGTTGATTAGGGGTTGGGTTAGGGAGTCGGTTGGGGGTCGGTTGGGAGGTCGGTTTGGAGGTCGGTTGTGGGTTCGGTTGGGGGGTCGGTTGGGGGTCGGTTGGGGGGTCGGTTGGGGGTCGGTTGCGGGGTCGGTTGGGGGGCCGGTTGGGGGCCGGTTGGGGGGCCGGTTGGGGGGCCGGTTGAGGGGCCGGTTGGGGGGCCGGTTGGGTGCTGATTGGGGGGCCGTTTGGGCGGCCGGCTGGGTGGTGGTCAGGGGTGAGTGACCCACTCCCTAATTCACCCCCTAACTCACCCCCTAACCACCTCCTAACCCACCCCTAACACACTCCTAACCCCCCCCAATCCAAACCCTAACTCAACCCTAAGCCCAAACCCCCCAAAGCAGACCCTAACTCACCCCCTAACCCACCACCTAACTCACCCCTAACCCCCACAACCCAAATCCTAATACCCCAACCTAAATCCTAACCCCCCCCCAACCCAAACCCCCTAACCCAATCTTTAATTGTCAGAACAATTAAATTTTGCCCAACACTGCTGCCGGCAAATGTAGCGCGTAGACTAATTCATTTCACGCTGCAGAGTCACACGGGACTGCCTTTACAGCCTACCCATCTGTTTACTTCGAAAACTTAATAATAATAATAAATTTATTTACCATAATAATAATACAACATGCATAGTGTACAGTAAGCACACTATGCATGTTGTATATTAGTATAATATAAGGTATATAAGTACTTGTACAAACTTTATACTTATCTACTCTACTACTTAGCTAATCTGCATTTTGTTAAATTATTTACCTCGAATGCTTATTGCAGGCTGCAATTGTCAGATTTGATGGCGAAGCCAATGCAACGCCTGACCAAATACAGCCTCATTCTGCGACGTATTATACAACACACTGACACAGAGCCTGAGAGAACATCTCTTATCGCAATGGTAAAACCTCATGCAGCTACTTTATAGCACAGCAATTCCTTTCTTATTTTCTCTGTAACATATATACGGCAACAGGCTACCAAAATACATGAGAAAAGAATAAAGTTATTGTCACTATATTACGCATAAAAATTTGTGTAAATGAAGACATTTCTATACAATATACTTAATAAAACTTAATCTTTTTCTTATTTGTAGCTTTTTGACACTTTTCTGCATTAAATGTACACCTGCTTTGTAACTGCCTTCATTACTTTATTTTACCACTGTTACTGCTTACCTAATTGGTTATATACTCCTTGGCGTTTGTTGCTGTGTTTATTAGTCGTACGTTATAGTACCGATACGCGTGATCAAGTAACTAGATGCCAGAAACCCAAGCGTGATTGGTAAAATAAAAAAGTCGTCTAAAGAAATAAAAAAGAAATAATTAATTCGCGTCCACTTTTTTACTGTTTGGTTGTAAATGTAGCAATAATTACTTTAGGGACTTAATTTTCTTAGTAATTATAACTACTATGCTTAGAAATGCGGAAGTATATAATGCCTCGTGCCATTTCACCGAAAGGTAAGCAACTCGAAGATCGGTATACTCAACATTCATATTATGTGTTTTTATTTTATAAGGAGTCTTTTGCTACGAACTACGTGCTGGATGTGAACCGCGCTATTCGGCAGCGCGAAGAATTGGAAAAATTGGATGCCCTTGCCAAATCGATAGATTCCTATGAGATCGTGAGTACCCTTCTAATTCCTATACGACTATTAAATTAGGTATCTTTTCTACAAAATTGCCGCGTAGCATTTATACACGTTAAATTTCAATGTCAAATAAGATCAGAGGCCAGACTTGAGTTTTGATCGTGGCTAGAACTGAGAATGTATGACAATGCGGTTTGACAGTTTCGAACGGGCCCGTCTTTTCGTTCACGTATTTCGGGAGGGAGTAGTACGTAGGTTATCCATAGTGGGAAAGCGACCGTAACTACGGATTTCGTACTTCGAGAGAAGGGCCCTGATGTCTAACTAAGAACAAACAAATAATTGGCAACTGTTGAAACATATGACGCGTACTTTACTAACCATCTGATTCAATTATGAATAAAACCGGAACATATGTATTTAGTGCTATCTTGTAGTTGACATGAGACGTTCGAACAACGACTACAATGAATGAACTGCGTTGAATATTAATCTTCTATAAATCTTCGAGAAAATTTTCCTTTTTTTGGCTTGTAGCTGCATACGTAATCTGATAAATACGTCAACCCGTTTTGAACACAATTATTTACTGATCCATTTGTATGTTTTAGGATTTCAAAGACGAAGATATGGATACGCACTTTAAGAAAACCTCTCACACCAATCTGAAAGCACCAATGCTGGGTTGCCTTCCAACTCACAGCCGGAGCATTGTCCACCAGGGTGACGTGCGATTTAAAGACCACATGAAGGAGGCAAGCACCTAGATAAACACGCCCAAAACATACATCCATTCGCTCTGCGTTTAGGTTTAAAGTTCACAAAATTTGACTCGCACGGATAACAGTACATCTAATAAGTTGTCTATGTGTTGTTTAATTAAATTCATTTGTTAGTGATCATAAATTTTTGTGGCTCTGTAGTTGTTACCATTCTTAATTAGGTCATTCGGATGCATCTGGATAGATAGAACTTGCATTTATATTTTGTGAATTAAAGTGTTATTGTTTGAAACAAATTTACCATATCACACTAAATTTATTATTAAGACTTGCGGTCAATTAAATATATGAAATATATGTTATGCGATATGTTCCGCTGCGCTGCTAATTACGCTTCCCCGCGAATGTGTTTAACAATAATTACTCTAAAGTTGTATACCCGATGTGATCATCGTCGATTTTTAATTTCAGCTTGAAGTTCGCGCCTTTTTACTGACGGACATGTTACTTATATGTAAAAAGCTCTCTAAGGGCAGCACTTACACGTTCAAAATAATAAGGTACACTTTTTACTTATGATTAGTGGTATTCAATTTTAATGATCACTGAAACGGTCAATGCTGAGCGAAAATTTATTTTTGAACATGTTTGCGATAAGGGCGAGTATCCTAAGCACTGCCATTTATTACAGGCCAAAATACATGATTGATAAAATGATAGTTTACCCAAGGTACGCTAAGGGAGGCAACAAAGATGTTATAAAAGATCTAATCTGTGTGGTACTAGACGATGTGGGTTCGTCGAACTACGGTTTCACGCTTTCTGAAACAACAAAGGACTCAAATAGTCAAGGAACACTAAAGGTGAGCAAAATTCGACCTCGAAACGCCGCTCTCATCTTACCCTATGGGAATCAGCATCGGTACTATGCGCAAAACGTTTTCATATCCATAAAATAAGAGCGAAAAAGACTGTGCGTTTCACTTCAGCAGTCCGGACTAAAGCGAAACCCTCACACGCTCGGCTTATTCCCTCATATTGTACGGCCATAAAGCTGTTTCTGGTACAAGCTGTATCCGCGTCGATAACTGTGGTGACTCCCTAAGATTGTAGAAATACGAATACGTTTCTCATTAACTGTGTACTCTTTGTTATGAGACCCACGTAATAAATCACAAGAATACCTTTACCCACAGATCCCTTGGGGAATATGTTCATCATTTTTTATTAAATTTTAATTTTGCTCTTATTTTGGCGAATCCTCAATGTTAATGCTTAGTAAAATACAACTAATATAAATTTTCCACTGAGATTCCTATCCTTTGCACTTACTGCTTATTTTCAACACGAGACGCGAACGTACGTTGCTGTATTTATTATACACCTGCCCGCCGAATTATATTTTTATGTTTATTGTAGTTGTGGGAACAAAAAATCAGAGAAGCAAAATTATCGTACGAGTTCGGACTTTGGTTTGCGAAGAATCCGTCCCGGGATCTCTCCGTGGAAATGGATTCCTCATCTGATTACGCTGTCAGCAGCAACAGTGCCAAACATGTAAGTATTTACAGCTATAGAGGTATAAGCAAACTAAAAAAGGCTCTAAAGCTAATCAAAATTATCTTGTTAAAAAAAATTAAATATAAACAAAGGCCGTGTACCCTAAGTGATCCTTTGAATTATAAAATGTCCTGTCGTACTAATAATCCCGCATATTACGACCATATTACGACAGTCTAATCAAATATTGCTAACATCATAAACAATAACTATTGTTCCATGACTTTTTACCACCTTTTTACAAAATATAATAAATTTTAAAAATTAAAAAATAAAAAACCAAAATAAAAAACCAAAAATAAACTTTTAAGTTTTTGTACTAATATCTGACACTTTTTAGACCTTTAGCAACGCCTCGCGCGTGTTGTCATTCATAACCACAATTTTGGTAGTGAGATCACCAGTGATCGGAGTTGAGGGAGTTAATTTAGCGAAACTAAAGAATGATATGGACATTCTACAAATTCTGGGAATTCTCAGAACTGATTATATTTCAATATTCGACTCTGGAAAAGTAAAACGTCTGACGTGCGTTTGGAAATATTACTGGAGAGCGATTCAAAGCAATGTTTCAAGAAAATCAAAGTCATAACTCTTATTTTATTTGTTACATAGAAAAGCTGAAACTTTCAAGTTTTCCAAATAACAAATAAATTTAGAGTTACGATTTTTTTATTTTATTTTAAACCGCTCTCATGTAATATTTTCCAAATGCATCTTAGACGTTTTACCTTTCCATCGTCGATATATATTTATTGAAATTTGAATATATTTGTCGCCAATACAAATCGCCGTTTATAGCAATATATTTAAATATTTTTATTTTTGTATGAAAGTAAAATCTGATGAATTATTAAAAGTCATGGAACAAAAGTTATTGTAAGTCTTTCAGTAATATAGTCCTGCGAGGTTGTTAGGGTTTAACAATTTTTTTTTTTTCAATTTACTTATTGAAAATACACAGAATAATTAATCTATACTTATCAATGGTTTATGCGAAGGGAGAATGCATCGCTTTTGTTACAATTTTACATACCCAAGTAATACTTTTTTAATACTTGTTTGCATTTCCTAACATACATTAACATATCTACATGGAGCTGCACAGGTATCTTATTTAGAATGTGTTATTTTGGGGTGAGAACCGGTAACAAATAGGAAGGAATTCCGAAATGAATAACGAACGTCCTTGTGGGTTCAAAGCTATATTCCGACAACTCTTACTTAGCGGGCGCAGCCGCCAGTACATTATTCTACAGAATACCCACTTATTATTAACATCCCTCCTCCAATATTTCGTAACGCTATAAATCGACTCATCCGAAGAACAAAGTCCGATGTGATTATTAGCAAAAAGAGAATAAGTACGTTACGGTAATAATTTCGTTATTCAAACTAAGACCTACGTAAAGGTGTTTTGCAAATTTATATATCTTATTTCGTTTCGGAAATATAAAATCGAACAACGATCGATCTGACATCCACAGCGAAGAAGAACGAACGAAATGTACTATGTCTTGAAAACAAGTTGTCTTGCACATAGATCTTTGTTCTACGGATGAGTCGAAATATTACTAATAATTTCTTACTTTTTAAGAAAAAGTTCTATAATTAATAGACCTTCGAGGCCGTAAAGTACGCGCCATAGGCATATTAACCGAACTTGTGGCTGTTGCGATTTCCGCGGCCGCTACTGATGACGCAATTGCTATCGTCTCAGTGATTGGCGCTTGTTCTTCTGAGTCCGTGGGCTCCGCCAGTTCTCCAGTCTGTGGAGTAGGACCGTCTCCGTCTATTGTCCACTCAGGAGTTTGCTCTAGACGATCTAAAGGCCGTGCTGACTCTGCTGTGGTGTTCGTATTCGTATGTTGTCCGAAATTAAGTAAAACAGGAGGAAGAATCTTTTCCAGGCCTTCCTTAGTTCCTTCGGCGCAAGTATTGACTACTGGAGTTTTTATAATTGCACCTGAATTTTCAGCAGCGCCGATAGAAGACACCTCTTCTTCTCCCCTTTTAACTCATAAATTTGATTTTTGTGCCTCTTTATAACACGGTCCTCGCCAATAACTTTCACTAAGTACGCTGATTTTCCAAGTTTTTTTTATTATAGCCTTTGTCCATTATGAATTGAGTTAAGGAACGACCACCAACATGGCCAGATTCCATAGATAACGAC